GCTGAAAATAAAATTGAGCAGTAGAAGGAAGAAGAAAACTAAGGCWCTATAATGCAGCTAAGGAAATGGCTTTTCTGCATTTATTTTATATCCTAAGGAACTTAAATTACAGAAAGTATAGCTAGCAAAAGCGTGAGTGAGCAGGTCACACTGTACGAGTCAGGTTTAGTTGTGTGGCTTTTCAGCTGCCTCTGCAAATGGAGATGCCCTTTCAGATAATGTAGGGAATGGACATAATTTCACCTACCTGGAAACTTCACCTAGACTTTGGATTTGTTAATATCTCAGACTTCTCTAGCATGTATCTCTCTGGTCCTTGCAGAACTTMCTTGTAAATCATTTCCTCTGTAAGAGTGATAGCCAGCAAATGTTGGAAGTTTAAGACTAATTAAAATGTCATGAAGTGGCTTAAAATTTGGGGGTTTATGAATAGAAGTCAATTCATTGTTAACTATTAATTGTTAAAGTCAGTGGAGTCTTCAAGATTTGGCTTGGAGAAAAAAATAGCAGCTCCTCTAAGTGTGGAGAGGGTTGTCCCTGTGCAGTYTGGCTCCTTTGTTGCTGTAGCTTTCAGGCTTGGGGGCAGCACAGGGCCCTTGCTGTGAAAAGCAGGTTTGGAGAAACCGTCTGTCCCTTGACACGAGTGTCTGAGTAGCCCAAAGAGTTTTCAGGGGCTAAATTGTTTCAGAATTGTCAATGTAGCAACTGGATGTGCTGAGATTTATTCAGATATGTGGATAGGTTTGTGTCAGCAGAATGTATGCGCGAAATTTGTTTGTTTAGTTGATATCACAGAACCAAAGTCCTTAAAATGTGCATGCTGCAAAGATAACCGACCTGGTGCGATCAACAGTTGAGCTCAAATGCGAGATAAGTATTCTTATCAGAAATGAAGATTTTTTTTTCCTTCTCTGATCTAGCTTATCTTTCCCTGTTTTCTACCAACATACAACCATTCTTTTGATTTCACTTGACTGTAGTTAGTAAGCAGCAGTAGTTTGTCCTGTTGTTAATGCTGTGTTTTGAAAAAAAAAAAAAAGAGGAGTTTGGCCTCCAGAAGGAGTAAAGAAAACAACATCTTGCAGTAAGAAAGTCCAGGGGCCGAGGGGGATTCGGTCTGCGGCACAGACTGGCCGGCTCAGGTGAGATGTCTGCCGAGCGATTCCTGTGGGAATGAAAGCTGCAGTACGAGGAGATGCAGGAATCTGCATGCAAGGGGTATGGGACTCGTCTGTTCAGTCAGAGCAGCTGCTACAGGAGACAGGGCTGAGCCCTGGAATTACCCCTGGAATTCTTGTGTGTCYACTTCATGTACATGCATCCATATGCATACATAGCATGTCTGTTTTAAACTCTTAAAGCCTGATCATCCCAGGTGAATTCATGACTTTTAGAAGGCAGGTTTGTGCGGGTTGCCTGTCCGTTTTGAGCTGTGTTACATTAGCTGGTGCAGTGAAGAATGATTCCTGGCATCCCTTTGCTGCAGAGTGCTGGGAGAGGGCAGGTGTTTCCCCTCACCACTGTGTTTCCTGGCTGTGGCTTTTGGCAGCCCACCCATTTGTCACTTGAATTATCAGGAGCTTTTAGAGTAACACACCCATTATAAGCCCAGAGAAACTCAGCGTGTCGGCGCCTGCTTGTWGTCGGTCGGGGCGTTCTGTAAGATGGTGACAAGTTGCTCTGTTTCCAGTGGTTTGTGTGGAAGTACAGTGTGCCTGCTTCAAAACAACCTGGGGAATGGACCAATATTGCATTAGGATCCTAATACGTGGGRCTTTAAGAGATCTTACTTGAATTTGTTGTGATACGTAAACGTATGTGTGCCAGACATAATAGCATGTTGCAACTCAGTATGTGTGCGCATCCCTGAGTAAAGGGAGAACAGCTTCTCTGCAGCTGCTAGCTCTGCTGCTGTCCGTTCAGCTGAGGATGCTGCTGGCCCCTCTGCTGCCAGGGCCCTCTTCTCTCATGCTGGACTTGGTCTCCACGAGCACCCAGGATCATCTCCCTTGAGCAATAAGGCTTGAGGGCTCGTTCTTCGCAACAGCAGTACTGCTTTCGCTGAGCCAGCGTGTACAGAAATGCACCTTCATTATTTAKTAGTCGGGCTGTGTAGCTGCTAATGTCTGAGTTTGTAATAAGCTGATAATAACAAAATGCTGCTTAGTTTGCGTCTGCCTTTATGGGTGCAGATCTCTCTGCTTTGGGTGCGGGCAGTTAAGGCCTTGTAAGAGGAGCTGTTGATGGGCAGTGCTGAATTTCTTCTGGAATCCTCACTAAGGACAGTGCTATGGCAAATTCACACTGATTTAATTTCTTCTTTCACACTGATTTAATTTCTTATATTGCTGTAGATTGGACAGGCAGCATTAAACTGTGTGTGTGTGTATATACATATACATATATATATATACACAGACCTTTAAAGAAACTTTATGTAGTCTTCTGTAGTTGTCTTGTAAATGACAAAACCAACTTAAAAAAATAAAGGAGGAGAGATGCAAGGATATTTGTCTCAAAATGTCTTCACGTGAAGATTAACTGTTTGTGATCTATTTTAAGCATTAAAAAATAAGTGTAAGGGCTTAAAATGCTGTGAAATGTGTGGGGCATTAGTTTTGCATTAGGATCATTTCCTGATGCTGTGCTAAATAAAGCGTGAGCATTTTTGTTGGGCTGATATAGGCATGGTAGTGTCCTACAGGGTGACTGATAAAGCACTCAACTGCTGGACATCTTTGCATTATGTTTAGAAGAGAAACACTGTGTGTTAATGAAACTGAAATAATAAATATGCAAAGATTATTAAAGTTCCTGTATCTGTGAAAATGGATGCTAGGTTAGTCCTAACAACAACAGCAGGTTACCCATGTTGTTAAGGGCAGCGCTGTTAAGAGCCAAGCTGGTAGGGTATATTTTAAATGTATCTGGAGACATTAAAAAACATGCTCAGCTTGAGCATGTTTTGTGAAGTTGTATGAAGTTTTGATTAGAGTTAAATTTAGGGAAGAACATAACAAAGCTGTTCTTTGTTAAACAGCTTTCTTACCTGGTGTGTCTCTTCACTTTCTCCATTTCCATGTTTGGGTTTTGAGACGTTAACCAGTCGCAGTAGTTCGGGGAGACCCGCCTTTCACAAGCAACTTCACCACTACAACAAATAAATCCAGTTTCCCAGAGAGGGGCTGGAATTATTTCAGAGTTTGGGGGATTGTTACTTTGGTTTTTTACAGAAAACTTTTTTCTCGTTTTATTTTTTTTAAACTTAGAAATGCCAGCGATTCCTTAGAGCTGCTGAGCAGTGCTGAAAGGCTCCAAAGTTGAGCACAGTTGTCCTCGCTCAGCAAGTGGCTCGTCATGGGCGTTCGTTCAGTGGCAGTATCATGTTGACTTGTTTGTCTCTTCTATCTCTGATCTTTATCTATGAGATGAAACACTTGTTTTTATCACTCAGGCTAGTGGGAGCTGATCATCCGTCTGTCAGTATTTTTTTCTTACAGATAAACATTAATATTTCCTATTCACCTCCTTTTACATTTTGAATTTGARTTGAATTGGAATTGAATTGCAAACATGGGGAAAGTTGGCCCAGCTTTGTAATCTTTCTCAGGGAGCTCACTCGGCGCCTTTCTACCCTAAAAATAAGATGGCCACTCAGCCAAGCTAACTCTTTTTTCATGCACACAGATGCACCTTGCAGTAATTTCCTTTTTTAGTTTTCTGCCTAGTGAACAGGGACTGCCTCAAATAATGTAATGTATATATGCATGCTGGAAGGTAGGTAGTGCAAAGCTATTTATGTCCCTCTGCAGGACTGTTAGTTCAGCTGAAAGTTGAYGTTTTGGAGGGCCTTGGAGCAAACACTGTGCGGTGCCAGCAGGCATCTGTGTGATCATCCCATTAGAGCCGAGGAACATCTGCATTATCAGGGCCAGTGCAGTGGGGAGGAGAACATGATGTCCTCTAATCCTGGCTGGGAGCATTATGGAGTTAAAAGGATAACATTTTACCAAATCTGTGTTTTAATTTGAGATGTTACACTTAATTACCTTTTTAATTACCTTTCTTCTGTTGCTGGGTCTTATGCTAAAGACCCTTCTTTGAGCCCTTATCATGGGCTCTTGGTGCCTTTGGATAGATCACGCCTGGTTTTTTGGGGAGTGTGTTTGTAGGGTTTGAATTATACTGAGAAGCTGGTCCTTTTGTCTGCCTAGAAGGCACTTACTCTGCAACTCCTRTTTTCCTAGTGTGGGAAAAGGTCTGTGAATATTAATTTTGGAYAGCAAAGGCAGTAGTGTGGCAACTAGAAGTGTGTGTTTTGCATGACTTTAGGTGTGAAGTGCAGCCTTGCTGAGCTGTCTTAGGAGGAAGGAGTAGCTGTGACATGCTATGTAGAGGCCACCCAGGAGCAAGAGGAGATTATTTCAGCCTTGCAGTGTGAGCCAGGGGAGAGCATTGGCTTGAATAATGTAGGCTTCTTTTTTCCCCTCTTTTCCCCTGTGGGAATCTGATTTCCTGATCACCTATCTAGCCATATGCCGGAGCTCTTGCCAGGAACTCCTAGCAGTGTCATTGCCAGCTAAAATTACTCGTCTTCAGTGAACCCAAGTACGTTGAGAATCATYTTCGATTGCTACGTTGGCAACATCACAAAGGTTTTGTGCGCGCACACACACACACACGCACAAAGATGCGTTAAAGCAGCTTTACCTTGCAGGCCGGCTCAGAACCTGCGCTGGAGACGCAGAACGAGCTGCAGATGCTGCGAGCTGCTCAGCACCTGCTGGGGCTCAGCGTGTTCCTGTTTCCTCCCCAGGGCTTCCCGCAGCTTGTCACAGCTTTGACACCTGCAGCACAATATTGATACATACAAATTAAACATTTACAAAGAAACCATATTCTCTACTCCATTTTTGTAGTAGTTGCCATGAAGGCTTGGTACACCTGGTAAAAACTTGTAGTGTTCTGTGGTAACTTTATTCCTTTTCTTTCTTTAACAGGATAAAAATGAAGTATGGTTATATACTGACCAAGGAGTCAGACTAAGACTGAGTCCTGCTCTCTGACTTTGCTGTACCTGGACCATGAACTTGCTCTTTGGCTTCGTGCTTTAGAAACCTTGGCAGTAACTCCGTGAAGCTGCTGGAAATCATGGCATTCTCTCCATGGAAGCTGTCTTCCCAGAAGCTTGGCTTTTTTTTGGTGACTTTTGGTTTCATTTGGGGAATGATGCTTCTGCATTTTACCATTCAGCAGCAAACGCAACATGAAAGCAGTTCAGTCCTGCGTGAACAAATCTTGGATCTCAGCAAAAGATACATCAAAGCATTAGCTGAAGAAAATAAAAATGTTGTAGATGGGCCTTATGTTGGGACAGTGACAGCATATGGTAAGTGCCTGTTCGAGATTATGTGATAATTTGATCTTTTTCTAAAAACTAGTTTTTCTAAGTAGTATGAACATTACACTTCAAAATGCAGCTCTATTGACCTTACTTCCAAATTCTAGTCTTCTGTTCATAGTCTCTGTTACCATTGAATCTCAGTGTTACAGCCTGGCAATAGGTGGAGAAAAATAAGAAGGTAAAGTATAACCAGATTACTTCTTGATTTAGTGACTCAGCGTTGCTATTTTAAGTGTGTTGTCTAGTAAACACTTCAATTCCTTCAGAACTATGCCCCTTTCTCATTTTAAAGTAACACTAATCCAGGTTAATTGGCTTTCCTGGAGCACTTCTACCAGCTAGCACAACTACATGTACCTTCCCTCAGGATAATAAAGTAATTGGCACACGGATTACCAGCTGTTTAAGGGTTTCTCCTAGGAAGAGAACTGTGCCAGTGACTTGAATGCAGCGCTTGGGAATTTTTAGATTTCAGCTCAAAGCAACAGTGTGCATGTCAGTGACCAGAGTGAGAATTTCGATCCTTTTTTCTTTCAACCTGAGCCCAGATCTGTGTTTCTTCAGGGTGTTCTCTTGARGGAGTGTTTTTGCGGAGACATTGTAATGTAACATCTATCAAACTGGAATAAATGGTAGATACGGTKTTGAAGATAAGGAAGAACTGAGGGAAATAACAAGAGCTTCAGTTATGAGGAGACCACTTTTAAGCACACATGAAAGAAATAGATATTAATTGCCAGAAAGACACGAATCATGTCATGATATATGAGGAGCTGTTCTAACTGAATTGCCCTAAAGGGGGTAGAAACAGTAGGAAAAAATAAAACATAGTTCCATTCTGCTGTCTATCAGTATTGTCTTGCAAGAAGCTTGTAAATGAGTTTTCGTCTATACACCCCATTAAACACATTACCATGGGCTATGTGGGCAAGGTTCTTTATACCCTGCTGCTAAATGACTGACTTTGCAAGAATAACTTTAGATCTTTTTGTAAKTTCAAAGTGCTAACTCAAACTTTAAAAAGTATTTTTCATTCTTTTTTTTTCTATCAGTTGTTATAGATAATTTTTGAAAATAATTTCCATGTATATGGAAATGACACCACTTTATTTTGTCTCAGTCTGAAGATACAAATGACAGCAAACCTAACAAAAATCCCACTAAGCTTATCAGAGTCTCTAGCATGCAAAGGACCAGGGGCCTTTTTGGGCTGCTAACAGAAGGGCTTAGGGCAGCAGGTAGCTGTATCCTACAGATGGCCTTAGTGACAAGAGTGTGCTTAAAACGTGAGTGCTGATCAGATTTATATGGCTAGGAACTTCGGAGATGAAAAAGCAGCTCGTGTTAGTATTGGTGTAGCTGATGATGTGTGAGGAGGGGCAGGGTGCACAGCTGGGACAGCGTCACCCTCCATCGGGAATGAGCACTGTGTCTCCTCGCTCCCCTCGCACATAGGCTWCAGTGACTTTACCTCTGCAGTTAATGCAGTTACAACTAGTGACTAGGATGGATTTGTTAGGAATGTCTGTATTCCTTTGTTTCGCTCATGAAAAGCCAAAGAATATACTTTGAACTCACAGAAGTGCCCAGATGTGAAATGTATTTGCTGTTTAGTTGAGRACCAGAGTTGGACTATGTTCCTAAGAACATTTAGTCCTTCACACGTGCGGTCAAACTGCCCGGAATCCAGTACTGTGAAGCTGACTGCTAATTTTTATATCATCTGCTTAGTTTTATCTGTTATGCCTCTAGTTTGTTAAAACTTGATTTAAATGTTGGGAGGAGAGGGAGGCGTTAGGGAGAAAGTTGGAGGGTTTTCAGTATATGCATAACCAATAAAGCAGAGACCTACCATCTTTGCTTTTAGGATATTAAGAAAGTTAATTGCCAAACAAGAGTTGTTTCATCTTACAGTTTTCTTAATACTTTGTGCTAAATAAATTGGATAGATGTCTTTTATAGGGTTTAGGTGAGGAGTAAATTTTAGGGTGCAACAGATCTTTAGTTACTTTTAATCTAGATTTTTAGATACTTTTAATCCATGCATCAAGAAAGTGCAACAGGCTACACTTTCTTGATACATGGATTAAAAGTACCTTTTTACAGGTTTGTTAGGCTKTCATCTTGTTTCTGTTACTTTTTTTTTTATTCTCTCTTCCTGATAAGTTTTAGCGTTCACATGGAAGTGTTTGTCTGTAAGGCTGCCTATTATCTGCAACATCACTATTATATTGCTTTGTTGCTTAAATAACAAGCTAGCCTTMTTCTGTAATTTCTCCTGGCCTGTGACCGAAACTGCCTTCAGAGAATGAAGGGGAGCTGCCTGGGTCTGTGCCCTGGCTGGGTTCATGATCACAGGATATCCTTAGCTACATTTCCCTCGCAGTCCGTCCATGACATTCATTTCCTGTTCCAGATCTGCCTAGGGACTAAGTAGAGCTGCTGCCAAACACCGACTAGGCTCCCCAAGAGATGTTAAACTGCATTTTGCAGGTAGATGAAATGATTTTGCATCCCTTCTATCTGGTTAAGGCCAGCTAAGTTGTTTTTTCCTTGTATGGGAGTTTTCAAGGTCCATAGATTTTTCAGTGCAAATACAAGTTTGGACAGGAGTTCTCAAATGAAGACATTTTGAAAGATGCAAAAAGATGACACTGTGCTTATTTAAAATGGTAGTGGGACACATTTTGAGATGAGCAAAAAATACCATGTGAAATAATATAATCTGGAAGCGAGCAAGTCRTTGGTTAGTGTGTCCTGTCTGCATTGCAAATGGTTTCTTAGGAGCAAGCTCTGGGGCTGACTCTTCAGCAATGGACTTGTTAATGACTAGCATTAATGCCAGTGGCTGGAAGAGGTTGGTTGATATAAATAGCATAACATGGCAATTTTCATAGCCTACTTTTCTTCCTTTAATCTCATCCTCTGATTACTGCTAATGTGCACAATCATGACTTCTGTGTTCAAGAGTATTAAGTTGCCTTGATTTGTCTGCCTTTCACCCACTCAGAAGGGTTTCAGTTATTAATAAATTTGATTACTTGTTTGCCTTTTCACTTAGTGGTATTGATTTTTATGTTCTTTTTTCCATATATTGGTCTGTCATGAAGGTGGATCAAATACTTTGTTTTTCAAAGCTGTAGTCCAAATACAAGGAATGACTAGTAGGTTTTTATAGCAGTAAACAGATGTTTTGCAAAAATTGTTCTGAATCTGTGTTCCCACTCTTCCCTTCCCAAATTAGCTTCCAAGTGCGTTTTCATTCTGGTGTCTCATAGAGTGTTTTAGTAGCAGTACTTCAAGACTACGATAGCTAGCTCTTTTTTTTTTTTTTTCCTGACTCTATATGACCTGATGTATACTATATTGCTTCCTCTTACTGTTTCTTGAGTCTTTTATTTCTAAAACTTTCCCATTTTATTCCATACTTTTTTCTGTTTTTTCCCTTTTTCCTTGTGCTTTTTCTATTATTAAGTTAACTTCCACTTTTGCCTGTAATTTCTGTTTCATGTTTGTTAATCACTTTGTTTTGATAAATACTTCTTTTCTGCTTCATTCCATTGCACCATGCTTAGAAAGCAGGACTAACCATTGGAGCTTTCATCATCCGACCTTAAGAGGACAAAGAAAAATACACAGATAAAAGAAAACTATCTACTTTATGGCTCCTGATTTGATTCTCCTTTTGGAGAAAAAGAACATAAGGTYTCTAGATGCATTATCCTTTTCTTATTTACTCTCTCATTTGCACAAGAATTGGGGTACTCATTCAGGAAAAAAACCCCAAACATTAGGGATACAAAATAGCATATGACAAAACTACATCTGATATTTAGGCAGATTAATCTCCTCTGTTGTATAGAGGAATTTTCTGTTACAGATCAGAACATTTATTTGGCTCTGGAGTTAGGAAAAGCAGAAAATGTATAACAAATAWATAATAATTTTATGTAATCAAATGCAAAAATAGTGTGGATTCAACATACCCAATGCTTTTATCTTGAGAGAAGCATAAAAGAACAAAGGACAATACATTCTTTCATCTAGCTTTGCTCGATCCCACTTTAAATTGGCAATTCAGTCTGGTAATTGTCTTTTTTCCCCCCCCTCTAGCCTACAGTGTGGGTGTGGGGTTTGCATGTTTTTCTCTCTGTCTTTTGTTGTTTGGGGGGTTGTTTTGTTGTACTTGTTTTAGTTTATCCAACTGTCCTCATTACTCAAAGAAAACTGAAGAAAAGAACAAGAGAGGAAAAAAGTCTCAGGCAGCTTAGTCTTCTTGAGCTGTCACTCGATGAATAAACTCCTATGACTGTTTCTTGCTTTCCCTGCAGAAAGGCTCTAATCAAATGGATAGGTAGATGCACATGCTTGTTTTGATAGATCCAGCTCATTCTTGTAGTTTGAACAACTTCACAAAGAACAAATTATTTTTGTCCTGTGCATTTTGTGCTGGTTTTGGCATAAAGGGTCTTTTAGTTTTCTTGTAATGTATTCCCAGAACTGCTGGTGGTAAGTGCTTGTAAGGGACATGTATTCATTTTTATTTAAGTCATGTACGATGAGTTGAACAAGTACAAAGCACACATTTTTATTTCTTCAACTYGAATGTAAGAAACATAAGCATTACTGTAAGAGTAACATGCTGTGCATGTTATAAAATACATATGAAGATCCAGCCCCATGTCCAGAGGAGCTTGTAGATTAGGTCAGACAACACAGGGAGTATTTGTGCAAACTGCTGTTCATGACCGAGATTTCGAGTGAGTTTTTTCTGTGTTTTCCAGTCTCATTCTCGTAGCCATTTTCTAATTCKCCCTGACAGTGTACATTGCATTATTAAGCACTTTAACTTTTGATTTGTAGATCTGAAGAAAACACTTGCTGTCTTGCTGGATAATATCCTGCAGCGCATTGGGAAGCTGGAGTCGAAGGTGGAAAATCTCGTACTTAATGGAACAGGCGCAAACTCTACCAACAATACTACCACTGCTGCTCCCAGCCTGGGGACAGCTGAAAAGCTTAATGTAGCAGGTGAGTATGGCAATGTTTGGAGCACTTATGGGCTGCTTAACCTGTGCTTTCTCTCCATGTGCTCTTTTCCATGCTATAATGTGTTTTTTCTTTTGGTTTATTAAAACCAAAAGGCTGATCAATTGGTCTTTTACAAGCTCAAAGGAAGACTTTCTACTATGGCAACTTGAACGTGTTGAAGAAAATATTCTCTGTCAAGAGAGTCTAGGCCATCTTGCAGTTTTTTAGATATTTTTAAATCTTTTTGTATCAATTGCTTTAGAATATAGTTTAAATGACTGCACATTAGAAAGGGGAAAGAAGGCWGATGGTTTCTCCATAAGGGTTCTTCATCAGTAAGAATCTACCTTGTGCAGATACTCTGATAGCATTTTTTTTTWWTTTTTTTWWTTTKGKKGTTTTTTTTTATTGACACTTATTAGTTGTCATTAGACTGTTAGTTATATTGTAAAAAAGGCCTTTCGTCCTCTGTCCAAAAGAAACAGCAAGCAGAGATGCAATCGGCTGTTTGCTGCCCTTTCAACTTCTCGAAGCACTTGAGTTACGACCCAGCGGTGGCAAGGACACCTCCCTGGCCTCTGTACCTGCGTGACTCAGTCCCAACTGTGTGTGCTCGGGACAGACCCTTCCCTTCACACGGCCTGTCCTGTTGCCCTGCTCCTTCCTCCATCACCGAGGCAAAATGATATTGGCAGCCCTGACCCATCTGCCTGTGTGCTGCACAGATGGATCCCTCCTTAGGGAGCAGAGCAGAACCAAGCTGGGCARTAGGACTAGAGCTGCGCTCCTACATCTTCTGTGCACTTGGCTTTCCTATCAAACTCAGCACCTCAGAGAAGTTACATTTTTAGTAGATAAGTCAAAATAGAGAAGTAGAGGCGACCTCAGGTTGACTGACACCAGGGAAAGGAAGTGGCGTGTGTGGTGTGCGAGCGATTACCTGATTGCAGGAGAATGAGGGACCTAATGTATGTCTGCCGCTCGGCAGGAGCTGCATTTATCCATATAAGGAAATCTGAAGTTTATTTAACTCTTGCTGTGAGACAACTTTGTCCATCTTTTATCCCATAATAAAAGCATGCTCTTAGTACCACAGTGCTTTGCTCATGTAYTACTGCTTAATCTGTGGTAATTTCCATCATATTTCTGGCCTTAGTTATATTTAAAGCAGATTAGAAATTAGGTACTGCAGCTATATAGCACTTGCAGTGAAGTGGGCTCTATTACTTCCACAAAGGATGCAGCATGGGATCTTGGTTGCAGATGGAAAGTGAGCTAGGAGAATATTGTTAGAGTTTCTGGGCTAGCTTTAAAATCAAAAAGTCCTTTATATTTTCTTGAAGATGAACAAAAAGGAAACTTGCTGCAGTATCAATTTGCTGATCAGCTGGAAGAAACAGTTGTCAAAATAAGCTTTTCTGTTGATTTAAAAAAAAAATCTTGAGACAAAATCCAAGATCCCCTAAAACAACAACAACAAAAAAAGTGATGTACTTGCATATTATCTTTATAGGCAAAKGGTTGTGGTTCAGACAACCTGTCCAGGAAACATCTCTTTTTAGTTCTTAGGGAAAATTAATTTTGTTTTTTTCTTGGAGTCTAACAGCCCCATGTTCAAGGGATGTAAATGCTGAGGTATATCCAGGCATATCATAATAATGTATAGAACAGAGTTTGAGGCTAATCCTCACATGTTTACTAGTTAAATGGCTACTATTCGTTCATCTGAAGAAATCAGGTGGAGTTTCATCTTATCAGAAATGACTAAATGAAAARCTTTCTATTCTTTCTTGTTTCTATTCTTGTCTTCCTGGCATTTTCCTGCCAGTAGCAAACTCTAGAAGTCATAGAGTTATTGAGGTAAAGTCATAACATAAACATTCTCTCTGCTGCTTGGAAGCAGAGCTAGTTGGAAGTTAGGTAAGCAAGCCTTGTGATGACAGAAGCAGCTGTAATGTTGGTCTTGTCAGTGGTGACTGTTTCAACCATGTCCTTTTTTAGTATGCGAGAGCAGTTGAGACATCCGAAGACGTCTTGCTCAAGAGCAAAATGCAATTTGAAGTTGTGTATCACAGCAGGCCAGCATGGTCGGTTTGAATGTGCAATGAGTTTTACTTCACTGTATTTTAAGTATTAGTGACACTTTTTCATTGAAAAARCAAGACTGATAATCTGCAATCTAGGAGGAATCAAAATGATTGAGTAGTCAACATTCCTCTTTCAGAARCCTCTCTGCAAATGGTTTTGTTGTTTGTTTGCTTGTTTTGGTTGGACACGTTGCTATACTCGGAAAGTAATCCTAAAAACAATATCCTTGTGTCACAAGTGGAGGATCACAGTAATGCAGGAATCCTGGACTTATCCCAGAGGTCAAGCTGGTGAATTCAATCTAGGTCATGGTTGTGTCATTTTTATCTGACTTAATGAAGGCAGTTGTATCTGTGACTAAAACCTGTGATTGCGGAATTCCCTGTGAGATTAAGGGCACTGGCCACTGCAGCAGACAATGGAGTGGTTTTTCTGTTGATTTTATTAATGTTTTGTTTGCCCCTGCTTACCTTTTCTGCCTAGACAATTAACATACTACTGTGAAAAAAGGAGCATTTACAGTACTAGAATGTCAAGATGGTTTCCCAAATCATGCACGTGTTTTATTTCAGCATGGCTCAGATGAGAGGTCACCTTTGATTGCATAAGTAATCCAGGTAACAATGCAGCRAGTGTATTTTGAGAAATGGTTGCCGATTAGATAGAGTTGTTGATGAAATGATGAAAAAATAACAGGTCAGTGTGTTTAAAAATGMTCCTCGGTAATTCAAGGTTAGAAGTGTATATATTTTGCCCAGTATACATTTTTATAGTAAAATATCTGTTTCAGCAAACTCTTGTAATAAGCTTGTAAGTTCACATCGCCTAATATAGTCTACACRAGCTAAAATGACCTCCAGTTCCTGCTTTCTCTTGATACAACATGGAACCAATTATCCTTTTTGCTTAATAAAGCAAAATTTTCTTGTTGCATGTACTGTTTGATACCCAGGATACCCTCTCTTTCATGATCAGCCCCATGCTGCTTGTATATTCTTTTGTGGACATATGTGTCCAAACCTGGAGAATGGTCTTTGCAGCTGACTAAATAAAGTAGTGCCCCTACGGAGCAGACTTATTCCATGTTTGGCAGCGGGCAGCAGTTGCTTGTAACCCAATGACAGCTCTAATGAGGGGATACCCAACCTTAGTCTTAACAGTGTGAAAGCTCATGAAGAGCTTCCTCTGAACCTTATGAATGAGGAAAGGCCTAATGTTCTTTGTTAAAAGGAGCTGTGAAACCATCAACTACTGTTAGCAGTTGGAATGTCATTTGAAGGATTACCCGATGCCATCCAAAACCTTAATCAGGAACTGCTTTAGTAATAAATGGTAGCAGCAGTGACAAAAAATAAGTTTCATAAGGAAAATAAAAACCTGTCAGGGAAATTCCTGGCTATCAAAGATTTTCTTTTGAGCAATGTTTATGGCTTCTTAAAACCAGCATTGATCAATCCTTTAACCTGTTATTTGACCACAGTAGCCTAAGTGGCACCAGCAATTTGTATTTCACACATACCACTTGTTACAGGGCCATGGAATTTCATTTCTTTTTCTTTCAGCAGAGTAGCTTCTTCATTATCAAACTACAACCCAAGATATGCTGGTATTTGAGGTCTACCTAAAATTAGTAATTAGCTCTTTAACCTAGACTTGGAATCATATTTTGCTTTGGAACACAACTACTCACTACTAAACTGTTGCATAAAATTTAGGACCACTGTTGCACTAAAGTTATTCACCATTTTCCAATGGTCTCTACATCAGTTACGCTTCTCATTTACCAAGGCATGGAGAAAAATGGCATTTTTAAAATTATGCTTATCTGACTGTCAAGCATGGTATAGAACTGAGACAGCACTGGTGATATCTCTATAGGAATATATTATTCTGTAGTGGTATATAGAGCCTTTGGCAGATAAAGGGCTCTGAAGAAAATCCATCTGGATTAAGCTCATTCATGATAAGAAGGTGATAACAGTTGGTAGGAGGAAATGTTGAGAATTTAGCAAGAAATGTAACTCAACTCTCCTTGAAGTATGTAAACTAAAACTTTTAATTGATTCATTTWWWWAAAAAAAWAWAATTTCCATTTCAAGACCAGAAATCTGTTTCTCGCTCATCAGACACTCCGACAACTCACATAGTTGGTTTATCTGCAGACTSTAATGTGTATTCATATCTTCATTGTATTTAAGTTTAACATTGGCAATATGTTGCTACACCTGGTTTCTGCCTCTGAATTTAGTTCTGCAGAATCCTTCACCAAGAAGCCTGAGAGCAACCTCTCTTTTGGGTAGTGTAAAAGGGTAAGAGAGCATGAGCTCTTAGTGTATAAAAATAATTGATTTACAGCACAGCCTGAGATATTCAAGCCGTTGTCATCACTGTACTTCTGTGCTTCTTGAATGAAAAAATCTAACACTTTTAGATRGTAAAAATGCATTGAAAACTGCCACACTGCATACAAATTATTCTCTTACTTTGAGAAGTGTCACTTGRGAAAAGTTATTTGCATGGCTTCGGTCCCACAGAAGTGAACCCATGGAGGTTCGCATCAGGTGGTGTCTCCCTGCTTCCCCCCACTCATATGTACTTGCTACTGGAAGAACTCTTTTTTTTGAGAGAGAGAGAGAGAGAGAGAGAGAGAGAGAGAGAGAGAGAGAGAGAGAGACTGAGAACAGTTAAATATCAGGATGCTGTATTTAGTACTACTCAGGGAGAATATTTCGAGCTTATCTATTTATAGCATCTATGACTTTTCTGTTTTATACATTAACTTGTTCTGCTGTATTGGATGTCGAGCTCTCTTTTCCTGTAATAACTTTGGTTTTAACATGTTTAGTATTTTCTCTTTTTTTTTGAAATTACTCTTTTTTTTTTAAAGGATAGGTCTAAAGACTAATGAGCAA